AATAATAATAATAAATAAATAAACAGCACCCTGATCTCTGTGGTTAAGGCCTCCATCCTAGCAGCGATCTCTGCACTCAGCTCCTCCAGGTGCTGCTGCTTCTGTTTGTCTCTGATCAGCTGAAGCTGCTCGTCTCTCATCTCTATCGCTGCACTTTTCAGGCTCTGAATCTGCTCCTGCTGGTCCTGGATCTGTTTATGTTTACGCACAATTGTGCTGTAAGCTGCAAGGACACAAAAGGCCAAAGGAAAGGAAATCATGCTGCAATGCAGAGACGCAGATATGAAAGATATGAAGTAAGTCCAGTTTTTACACAGTTTGTAAAAACTGTCGTGGGTTTCATGGGAGAAATCAAGGGTCGGAGTTAAAATCAGGGCTGGAAACAGAGCTGGTTGTCTTACTGGTGTCGAGCTGGTCCTGAGTTTCATGTTTGTCCTGACTGAGCTGCTGAAATGTGTTGTCCAGGTTTACTTCCTGGAGTTTGGATGCCTGCTGATCAATTTTCCTTTCCACCTCTTCAAGGTTTCTCTACAGAGAAGGAAATCCAGATCTCATCACTTTTTATGTACTTTCTAAACTTGATTCTTTGTCATGAAAACAGGACAGATGTGTGCAGGTCCTGGCTGTGTCTGGCACATGTGGTGAGAAAGAATGAGACAGACAAATGTTTGGTACCAGGTATGAGTCCATGAGGGAAATGCCCTGCAGGCAGTCTTTGGCTTTTTCCTCCTCAGACCTCAGGACGGCGAGCAGAGCCTCCTGCTCCTCCACATCACCCTTCAGCCTCTCAGCTTCTCTGTCCACAGTCTGCAGCCGCTTCCTCAATGCTGGCAGCTCATTTTCCTGAAACTGCACAATGGCCTCCCTGACATGAGACATAAAAGAGAAAAATCAATGAATCGACAGTCGATTCTTCGTTTTTATCTCTAACAAAGAAATGAGGACAGACTGGACTGTTGGTTTGACACAAACGTCTCTGACACTGTACCTCACAGGCCTGAGAGCCACTATCTCCTCTCTCCTCCTCTCTGTCCTCTCCAGGTCCTGCTCAGTGATCTTCAGTTTCTCTGGCACCAGGTGTAGTTTAGACTGCAAGACTCTGACGACTTCCTGCACCTCAGACTCTGAGGGAAACGATCGTCGGCACACGGGGCAGCAGGGCTCCCTGTGCTCGCTCAGCTCGCTGATGAACTGGGTGTACACCACTTTAGTTCCAGCTAGTAGAGCTAAACCAGGACAGAAGCAGAAAGAAGGACACAGGAATCATGATTATTCATATGGATACTACATTAGGAGGCTTAAAGAA